ATGGAGCCTGCTACTCCCTCTGCCTGTGTCTCTGCCTCTCTCTCTCTGTGTGTGACTATCATAAATAAATAAAAAAAAATAATAATAAAATAAAATCCATTTGGGCCATATTTGAAGGTTGTTTTATATTGTTTAGACCAAAAAGAAAAGGACAGAAGGACTCTTTGGTATTTTGGCCTCTTAACATCTTCTGTCCAGTTATTTATTTCACAAGAACCAATATTAGCCTTAATCCAGGAAAGGCCGGCCAGCTGGCCGGCCTATCTACCTACCTACCTATAATTTAAATTCAATTTGCCAACATATAACACCCAGTGCTCATCTCATCACCTGCCCTCCTTAGAGCCCATCACCCAGTTACCCCAGTTCCCCACTAACCTCCCCTTCGGCAGAGTTTCCCAGAGTTAGGAGTCTCTCATGGTTTGTCTTCCTAATTTTTTCCCATTCAGTTTCCCCACCTTCCCTTATGATTCCTTTCACTATTTCTTATATTCCACACATGAGTAAAACCAGATGATAATTGTTTTTCTCTGATGGACTTATTTCACTCAGCATAACACCCTCCCGTTCCTTCCACATCAATGTAAATGGTGGGTATTCGTCCTTTCTGATGGCTGAGTAATATTCCATTGTATATATAGACCACATCTTCTTTATCCATTCATCTATCGAAGGACATCGTGGCTCCTTCCACAGTATGGCTACTGTGGACATTGCCACTATGAACACTGGGGTGCAGGTGTCCTGCAGTTTCACTACATCTGTATCTTTGGGGTAAATCTCCAGCAGTGTAATTGCTGGGTCATAGGGCAGGTCTATTTTTAACTTCTTGAGGAACCTCCACAGTTTTCCAGAGTGGCTGTACCAGTTTGCATTCCCACCAATAGTGCAAGAGGGTTCCCCTTTCTCCACATCCTTGCCAACATTTGTCATTTCCTGTCTTGTTAATTTTAGTCATTCTCTATGGTGTAAAGTGGTATATCTATTTGTCTTTCCCCAGTGACAAGTGATGTGGAACATTTTCTTATGTGCTTATTCACCATGTGTAGGTCTTCTTTGAAGAAATATCTGTTCATGTCATCTGCTCATTTCTTGACTGGATTGTTTGTTTTTTGGGTTTAAGTTTGATACGTTCTTTATATATCTTGGACACTAGCCCTTTATCTGATGTGTCATTTGCAAATATCTTCTCTCATTCTGGAAGCTGCCTTTGAGTTTTGTTGACTGTTTCCTTTGCTGTGCAGAAGGGTTTTTTTTTTTAAGATTTTATTTATTTATTCATGAGAGACACAGAGAGAAGGACAGAGACAGGTAGAAGGAGAAGCAGGCTTCATGGAGGGAACCTGATGTGGGACTCGATCCTGGAACTTCAGGATCATGCTCTGAGCCAAAGGCAGACGCTCAACTGCTGAGCCACCCAGGCATCCCCGTGCAAAAGCTTTTTATCTTGATGAAGTCCCAACAGTTCATTATTGCTTTTGTTTCCCTTTCAGGAAAGGCCAATTTTGACAACCAATTAGAGGTGAGAAGTTTGGTAGGGACTGACAGCATAATAAATATGTTATTACTTTTTTAAAAAGATGGGAGGGGGGCATGGGGATGTGGAGAGCAGAGGGAAAGAGAATCCCAAGCAGATCCCCGCCGCCCGCCCCCCGCCCCTCACCAGAAGCTCAGAATCTAATGTGGGGCTTGATCTTACAACCCTGGGATCACAACCTGAACCAAAACCAAAAGTTGGACACTTAACTGACTGTGCCACCAGATGCCCCATAAATGTGTATTATAAGATATGGACAGTTCAGAAGATCCATGAAAGCCAGAAAAAAACGGATCCGAGAAAAGAGCTATGTTAGTGAGAAGTGGCTAATGAGGGGATTTAGCTCAGAAGAGGAGGAAATACAGGGAGACAAGTAGAGAATCCGTAAAATGCAGCACTTGGTCTTCTTGGTATTTTCTATGAGGGGCACAACAGATATAAAGAAACTATTAACAAAATTAAAGTCCTAGGCAAACAGGAATACGGTAGTGTTCTTGGCAAAGCAATTCTTGTTGCATATAATAAAAAATATGAATGGTTGGCCATAGTATAGCTAAGCTAGGGAAAGGAATTGAAAAAAGCATGTAGGTTGGGTTAAAGAAAAGGTTTCATGAGACAAAACTGCAACTGACAACTATATATGCTACAGTTAACAATAAGGGTAAACAGAAAGATTTATTGTTTTGTAATTAAATATGGGATGGTATTTTTGAATATAAGTGCTAGGTTGACTAGGAATCTAAGAAATCATTATAAACCATGACCATTGTGACAAGAGATAATTTTAACAAGGCTGAGGGCAGAAAGGATTTTTTTAAAGATTTTATTTATTTGGGGGGGGGGGAGAAAAAAGAGTGAGCATGCATGTGCACACACGTGGAGCAAGAGGTAGAGGGAGAGAATCTTTACACAGACTCTCTGGAGCCAAGGCAGGGCTCAGTCTCACAACCCATGAGATCATGACCTGCACTGACCTCAGAACCAAGAGTTGGATGCTTAAATGACTCAGCCACCTAGGCGCCCCGAAAGGATTTTTAACAAAAATTTTCTCCTTTTTACATCTGCATATGTAGTCAATGATAATGTAGTTAAATGGCTAGTACTTTTAAATAACAATGAGAACAGAAGATTCAAGAAAGAGTTAATCCTTACCTATAAAGTAGTATATTTATTGAAGGATGATCAATATATAAATTTTATTTCTTTTTTTTCCAATGTATAAATATTAAAAAAAGATTCTGATTATCTATGACATTATTTGTAGAATTTTATTTAGAAAGAGAACACATTTATTCTCCATTCTAGTAAATTTCAACTTCTATTCTAGCTACATGGCTCTTTTGTTTTTTAAAAGTTTTATTTATTTATTCATGCAAGAGAGGCAGAGACAGAAGCAGAGGGAGAAGGCTCCCTGTGGGGAGTGCGATGAGGGACTCTGGGACCAGGACCTGAGCCAAAGGCAGACAGGCAACCATTGAGCCATCCAGGGGCCTTTCAATACATTACTAGTGATCAAAAGAACAGGGCAAAGAAAAACCTGAGGTCAGGAGCTACACATGTGAGAAAATAAGCTTGACTGAAAAGAACCTGGATGATATAAAGTCATATACTATGTCATACTATTTTTTACTAGATGTTGGGAAATAGAGGACATTGTGAGAGAGGCGCAAGAGTGATATAAATAAAGCATTTAACCATCATAATCCTAAGAATCAAAAATTTATATTCCATATGTAAATCCTTATGAAGAACAGTTAGTTCATGAAAGTCAGTATATCAGGTGACATGTTATATCTACAAATCTGTTTATAGTCTTCCCTCAATTTACTGGAAATTTACGAAAATCTTAAATGTTCTCTGATCTACTACACATAAAAGAAGGCAGCAGGGTCTTCTAAAAACTAAAATAAGGTTTTCTTAATTTTTTTAAAAAGGTTTTATTTATTTATTCATGATAGAGGGGGGGGGCAGAGACCCAGGCAGAGGGAGAAGCAGGCTCCATGCCAGGAGCCCGACGTGGGACTTGATCCCGGGACTCTGGGATCACGCCCTGGGCCAAAGGCAGGCGCCAAACCGCTGAGTCACCCAGGAATCCCCGGTTTTCTTAGTTTCTAATAGGAAGGAAGGCAGTACAGGTATAGATGCAGATAGGCTGAAAGATTTTATGTTTGGAAAAAGACAAAGTTCCCAATGGCTTCTATTTTCCCAAGGAATTATGAAACAAGTGTTGGCCAAGAGTAAAACTGCATTCAAAAAATGCTCTGATGGGAATAAGTAAGGTGTTATCAGAGAACAGAGGAGGAGTATCATTCTCAGTGTTGAGATAGAGGGTAGGGGATGTTTAAAAGATAAACAGGAATTTATAAGGAAAAGGTAGGTAGGAGAAATAGGAAGAGCATCTCATACTTATGTCAGAGGCAAAGGAAAAGAGCATGTTCAGGAAACAAAAGGGCAGGACCTAAGAGGTCCAAGAACAGCAAGAGATAAGGTCGGATAAGAAGATACCAAAATTAGGGAGAGTCTTGTATGTAGTACAAAGGAGACTGAAATTTGTCATGAGGATAATCAGAAAAAGCTACTCAAGTATACTACACCTATTTATGTTGGTGGTCTTCACATCAGTTTGGGGAAAATACTTGTAAATTTAATATACAAGTACATTTAACATAAGATTAGGCCATTTATATATTACATATTTTTAAGTTTATTATCATATTTTAGTAATCTCTACAACCTTTGTGGGGCCAAAACTCACAACCCTGACATCAAGAGTCTCATGCTCTGCTGACTAAGCCAGTCGGGTGCCTCCAATTTTTATATTTAATACTTAAAATGTAGAGGCAGTATGTATGTGTAGAGGCAGCTTAATGGTTAAGAGTACAAAAAAATTTTTTTAAGATTTTATTTATTTATTTATTCATGAGAGAGAGAGAGAGAGAAGCAGAGACAAAGGCAGAGGGAGAAGCAGGCTCCATGCTGGGAGCTTGATGTGGGACTTGATTCCAGGACTCCAGGATCACACCCTGGGTGGAAGGCAGGTGCTAAACTGCTGAACCACCCAGGGATCCCCAAGAGTACAAATTTTAAGGGCACCTGGGTGGCTCAGTCAGTTGGGTACCTGTCTTCAGCTCAGGTCATGATCCCAGGGTCCTGGAATCAAGCCTGCTTCTCCCTCTCCTTTTGCTTGTACTCTCTTTTGCTCTCTCTCTCTCAAATAAATATATTCTTAAAAAAAAAAAAAAGTACAAATTCTGGACCCAGAATCCTGTATTCAAATCTTAGCTATGCTGCTTGGTGGTTGTGTGACCTTGGGCAAAGTATGTAACTGATGTTTCTGTATTTTTAAATGGATGTTTTAATAGTAAAGAAAAAAATAAGAGCACCTTCTCAAAGGGATGTTAATATATTAGTTAACATGGTATCCTGTAAATGTTAGCTATTATTATTAAAGATACAGTTTTACCTGCTTTTTAATGGCATAATTTTCACCATCTTCAGCTTTCATTTTTTCAATCTTTTCTTCTTGTTGTTTTGCTTCTTTTTCATACATCATTTTTTCTTTGACCAATCTATAAATAAACCAAAAATGGTTCCAAGGATTAATTTTCTCTCTAGCAAACAGATCATAGGAGACAAAGAAACTATGTAAATATAAAATATACTTAAAATACCAAAGTATGTGTACTAGATAAGGAGGAGAAGAAAGAAAAATGCTCTAGCCATAGATCTAAGTCTGATCCTCAATCCCTTAAGTCCTATACTTGTCTAAACCAAGTGTAATCTTCAAAGCATGAAGCTCTCAAATTTTTAATTAAAAACATGTTCCACTATAATTCATTTAAAATGTAAAAACACTCAAAATTATTATGTACTAGCCTTTGTCTTCCTTTTTTATTAATAGATATATATTTTCAAACTTATATACATGTACTTGAAACAACATAATGGAAAAAGCTCAGCTACTGGAAAAAACAATTGGTATATTGCATGACAAGTCCAAAACAAAGAAAGATTATATTGTTTTCAGCAATAAAATCATTTAATAAGTATTTACTATTCATTTAATTTTATGCCTGACCTTCCTTGTGTGAGGGACTGGCTTTTGTCTAATCATTTGCAATAAAGATCTTTAAGTGGATTTCAAAACATGTTTTTTTTAAAAAGATTTTATTTATTTATGTATTTATTTATTTTAGAGAAAGAGTGCATGTGCACCAAAGGAGGGGCAGAGGGGGAAAGAATCTCAAGCAGGCTCCCTGCCAAGCGCAGAGCCCCACAATAGGGCTCGACCTCACCACACCAAGATGGTAATCTGAGTGGGAACCAAGAGCTGGAGGCTTAACCCAATTGAGCCACTAAGGTGCCCCTCAAAACATAATTTTCATATTCTAAGGGGGTCTTTTTTTTTTTTAGGATTTTATTTATTTATTCATAAGAGAGAAAAAGAGAGAGAGAGAGAGAGGCACAGAGACACAGGCAGAGGGGAGAAGCAGGCTCCCTGCAAGGAGTCCAATGGGGGACTCGATCCTTGGACGGGGATCACATCCTGAGCCAAAGGCAGATGCCCAACTGCTGAGCCACCCAGGCCTTCCTTCCAAGGGGGTCTTTTTTTTTTTTTTTAATTTTTATTTATTTATGATAGTCACAGAGAGAGAGAGGCAGAGACACAGGCAGAGGGAGAAGCAGGCTCCATGCACCGGAAGCCCGATGTGGGATTCGATCCCGGGTCTCCAGGATCGCGCCCTGGGCCAAAGGCAGGTGCCAAACCACTGCGCCACCCAGGGATCCCCCAAGGGGGTCTTAATATAAGTTCAGAAATCTAAAAAGAAAAAACTACTTTTGTTATTATACTACCTGAAAAGCTTCCAAATCAGATTTTAAATTTGGATTTAAATCCCCACATAAACTACAAACTAAATATTAAAAAAACTAAAAATATGGTCCAGTTTGGAATTTTGAGGTGTGCAAGCAAGGCTCATTCTGTCTTTCATGATCTTGTGTTACTGACATAGATAAAAGAAAATATAATAAAGTGATAATAATATTTACAGTAGGGATCCCTGGGTGGCGCAGCGGTTTGGCGCCTGCCTTTGGCCCAGGGCGTGATCCTGGAGACCCAGGATCGAATCCCATGTCGGGCTCCCGGTGCATGGAGCCTGCTTCTCCCTCTGCCTGTGTCTCTGCCTCTCTCTCTCTCTCTCTCTCTCTATCATAAATAAAAAATAAGAAAAAGAAAAACTTTAAAAAAAAATAATATTTACAGTAGAGTATTATAGGACCTTCATGCACTAGTCCTGAAGTAACTCACAGCGGAAAAAAAAAAAAGCAAATAATAGGTACAAAATATAAAATTTTATGTTGCAATGAATATAAACAAATAACAGAGGATACTTAAGAAACAAATAATAAAGGACACTTGGGAAAGTACTATTTCTGGTTATCCAAGGAGGAACTTCTAATGATGTGGGGTAGGGTGAGTCAGCTGGGAGTTAAACTTTTTTTTGAGCTTTTACATTTGAGCTCATTCTTCATTTGACTTTTATAACATTCCTAAGAGCTGAATATTAATAGAAAAAACAATCACAAGTAATGGGCTATGATTATAGTCCTTCACCCATTTACTACTACATATAAAATGCCAATAGTTAAGTATTATTCACTGGCCTCATTAAGAGGTCTGACACTGAACACCACCCCTAGGATGATGTTCATCATCCTCATATGCTTCTCCATTGTAATGGTGCCACCTTTCCTGATTTGGATTAAAGTTCACCAGTTTTTTCAATTTTGAGTAATAAAATTTGCTAGTTATTCCTTTAGCAATATTTTCTAAATTTTCTGGAATAAAGCAAAATTCTTAGAAAGATACCAAAATATATCTAATCTTTTTAATTCTCTAAACACTGATCTCTTTTGCAAGTTTTGTAAACGCCATAGTTAACATAATAGATATGTGTCATAATTTATTATACTTTAAAGGCATAATTAACTGAAAATATTTTCCATTAGCGTTACAAATCCACACCAACAGAGAAACAGCAAACCACAGAGAAACAGCAATTTCAAAATCTGGTCACTTTCAGTAATTAGACAAATACATGAGAGGAAATTATAAAAATAAGAGCAATAGAAAAGGATAGACATAATAAGGAAAAACTTACGAAATGACAATCATTAGGGGAGTGATAAATCAACTTAAACTACTTAATAATATAAGTATGGCATTAATATGATTTTTAAATATGTAGTATGGTGTTTTCCAAACTACTCCATGGTATACAAATAAGCTTAAAAAACCCTGCTTGCTGGGACATCTGGGTAGCTCGGTTGGTTAAGTGTCTGACTCTTGATTTTGGCTCAGGTCATCCTCTCTGGCTTGTGAGACTGAGCCAGGCATGGGGCTCTGTGATGAGCAAGAAGACTGCTTAAGATTCTTTTCTTCTCTCTCTTTACTCCTCTCCCAAAACAAAAAAACAAAGAATGTGTATTTTTGTATTGTTGAATGGCGTATTCTATAAATGTCAATTAGATCCAGCAATTTGATGGTGTCAATTTTTTATATGTTTGTTGGTTTTCTACTTGTTCTATTTACAAAGAGAAGAGTGCCAATGTGCGTACTTTCTAAAAAACACTGTGTGCCAAATTTTAAACATTTAAGATTTGTATTTGCATATTAAAAGATCCTAAGAAGTCCGGTAGTAAGGAAGTCAGTTTAACATTTTTCAATGAAAAGCTTACTTGAGGCAAAAAGGACTTTTCCCCACCCAGTATTCTCCAGAACAGTTGCCCTTCAACAGAAGTTTGAGACGTACATTGTAGGCATCTGTAAACTACACAAGTTTATATACAACGTATTTAAACATACTATTCTAAATAGAATAAAAGTTTTGGGTATATCAAGAATTTAGAGACCTTGAGATTAAAAAATTTTAGCTTCATTTGTCCTTATTTTGTAGTTTTTCTTACTCTAAGATTTTTATAGTTATAACTAAACTTGTTCTGGGGGCCTTCTAATAACTAAAAGTCTAATACAAAGCTAAGGATACAGGATGATAGGCCAATGTAATTAATGATGGTAAGAAACTGTAATAGGTTGATATTAAGAAAAACATTGTCATGGATATTTTCTAACAAAAAAATCTAGAGAAAATAGCGTAATAAATCCCATGCATTCTTCACTGAGCCTTAATAATTAGTATTTTGGCAGCCTAATATCAGGTATTTCCTGATACTTATTTGCATACTTATTAGTATTTTCAGACATATCAAATTTTATTTTTGAAGTTAAAGTCTGTGATTTCTAACCCACCTCCCCATTTTACCAACCATATCAAAAAATTAACTCAAAATGGATCAAAGATCTAAAAGGCTAAGATTATAAAACTTTTGCAAGAAAACGGGGTAAATCTTTTTTTTGCAACTAAATCTTGATGACTGAATTTTTATGACACCAAAACTGTAAGAAAAAAAGAAATAAATTGACTTCTGTCAAAATTAAAAACTTTTGTGCTTCAAAGGACACTATCAGGAAAGTGAAAAAGACAACAGAATGAAAATATTTGAAAACCATATATTGGATAAGAAACTTGTATCCAGAATCTATAAAAAACTTAATAATTCAATAAAAAACCAGCCCAACTAAAAATGGCTAAAGGGAATCTGAACAGACATTTCTCCAAATATATAGAAATGCCTAACAAACACATGAAAAGATGCTCAACTTCATTAGTTATCAGGGAAATGTACAAAACGACAGTAGGATATCACTTCATACTCATTAGAATGACTATAATGAAAAAATCAGGGGAAAAAAGATAATAATAAGTGTTGCTGACAGGGATGTAGAAAAATTGAAACCATCCAACACTGCTGGTAGGAATGCAAATTGGTACAGTTGCTTTTGAAGTTTGGCCATTCCTTAAAAAGTTCAACACAGTTACCACATATATCAGTAATTACATTCCTTAGTGTACACTCAAGAGAAATGAAAACATACGGCCACATAAAAACTTGTACATGAATGTTCATAGCATTATGAATAGGCAAAATGTGTAAACAACTCAAAAGCCCATCAACTGATGGAACAAATATGATATACCCATACAACAGAATAATATTTAGCAATAAAAGAAATGAAGTACTGATTTATGCTACAACATGAACCTTGAAAACATTACACTAAGTGAAAGGAGCCAGACAGAAAACACCACATATTATGACTATTTATAGAATATATTTGGAATAGGCAAATCTATAGAGATGCAAGTCTCTAGCCCTGGTTGACCAGTCTAGAAAAGCTGAGGAAAGAACTGGGAGGCTAATAAAAGGTTTGAGGTTTCTTTTTGGGGGTGAACTGTTCTAAAAATGATTGTGGTAACAGCTGCACAACTCTATGACTATACTAAATGGATTATATACTTTACATGGGTGATTTGTATGGTATGTCAATTATATCTCAAAAAGCATTAACAACAACAACAACAAAACAGCTTGTAACCACAAAGTCAGCCACAAGTACTGTACTTACTGGATATATTCACACTTGGGACTTATGACAGTTGAAGATTGT